CCTGGAGCTCCGCGCGCCGCCGAAGTTCCTCGTCCTCCGGCTCCTCCCAGTCCTCGGGCCCGAGTGTAGGCGGGGCCGCCTCCCCGGGCTGCCTGAGTCGGAGCCCCCGCGGGTTCCTGTCGGCCTGGGGAGCCCCGCTGCCCGCCAGCCCCTCGCTAGAAGAAATGGCTTCCCGCGAGGAGGAACCCTGCAGCCTTAAGGTGAGTGCCTGGTCCCCTGCCTGCCTGGCAGGTCAGTCGGCCCAGCCTCCTGTCCCTGGCTACCGAGATGGGAATTTCGAAGGGAGGACACTAAAAACAAACGAACAACTGAATGAGGTCTCCCCTGAAATCCTAGCCACTCAGGAAGTTGAGATCTTAGGATCGAGGTTCGAAGCCAGTCCCAGCAGGGAAAGCTTGGGAGACTCTGATCTACAGTTAGCCACTAAAAGGCCAGAAATGGAGCGGTGGCTCAGGTGATGGAGCTGGATCCAGCCTTGAGTGGAAAAAGCTTTCGGGACAGCACCCAGGCCCTGAGTTCAAGCCCTAGTACAAGCGCACGCGCGTGCACACACACACGCACACAGATCTTCGAGGATCCCTGGTGTTGTTCCTGTTGTGCCAAATAGCTTGGGAGAGGCAGTCATTAAACTTGGAAACTACTTGAAAAGCCTTAGAATACAAGTGTGCACCCACCACAGAAACTAATGCAAGTGGGCTGAGATTGTAGGTTTTATCTGCTCCCTAGGTAGCTGTAAATGTGCCACAGGGCTGGAGAAGATCTGGGGTATGCAGAACAGGATGGAATGGCCAGGACAGAGGACATGGGTATTTTAGTCAGTTTAAGGAACAGGGTCCTTGTTCTTTGAATTTTTCTGAACTACTCCAAATTAAACCGCCAGGGAATTTTGTTCTTGGCATGGCTTTTCACCAAAGTTGTGATTTCCAGCACTACACACTGAAGTTTTGTTTTGGTGCTTTGGTGGCTTTTTTTTTGTGTGTGTGCCTGTTCTGGGGCTTGAACTCAGGTCCTGGATGCTGCCTCTGAGCTTTTGTGCTCAGGCTAGTGCTCTAACACTTGAACTGCACTCCACTTCTGGCTTTTTGCTGGTTAACTGGAGATAATAGTCTAATGAACTTTCCTGCCCCTGCTGGCTTTGAACCTAGATCCTCAGATCTCAGCTTCTTGAGTAGCTAGGATTACAGGCCCATTTTGTTTTTTAGGTTAACCCTAAGCTTGATTCCAATTTAGGTTTCAAAGTAGACTTACAGCTGATCATGGTGCGTATGTATGTATGTATGTATGTATGTATGTATGTATGTATGTATGTTTTGGTAAATGTATGTATGTATGTATGTATGTTTTGGTAAGTCAGGGAGCTTGAACTCTGGCACTCTACCACTTGAGCCACAGCACCATTTCTAGTTTTCCGGTGGCTGACTTTGAACCATGATCCTCAGATCTCAACCTCCTGAGTAGCTAGGATTACAGGTGTGAGCCACCAGCGCCCAGCTGATTTATTGAATTAAAATGAATTAACTAATTTATTGCTTTGAAACCCTTTAGTAAAACACTTAAAGATAATAAGAATAAAGTAGACTTAGTGGAAACACTAAGAGGAATTCTTAAGTCCTTGAGGCAGATTGAGTGCTTCACACAGTAGGTCCATTTTTTCCACTGGTTCAGTCAGGCCTTGAATAGGAATTTATTGAGTATTTGGTTTGTGCCAGGCAGCGTTGCAGTGTGTAGGATTCTCCAGCAACCCAGGATGACTGCCCTCCTAGGTTTTGGAGCTCCAGGTCTAAAGTAAGGAGTCTCTTGTGCATGTGGAGGAGTAGAGAGTAGGCCTCAGGGGGTGAGCTGGGCTGTCTTCTAGACAAAGTGGATTTTAATGAAGTAATAAAGATGGGCCCAAAGGAGCACAGGTTTGTCTAAAGGGTTCTTATATCAGGCTGAGGAATGGAACAGTCATTGATTGGCTAGCTGTCCTGGGGAGCATTTACTCCTAGGGCCCCTGTCACACTCCCCTACACACAGAGAGCCAGTGAAACCCAAAGTTTTGTGCACGTTAAGCACATGCTCTACCACTGAGCAACATTTCCAGCTTATAACCCAGGTTTTTTCAGTGTGTGTCTTACAACCTCGGTTCTTGAGGGTGCATGGTTTTTTTTTAATGATAAATAATGGGGAGTTGAAAACCTGTTTGTATCATAAGAATTCTGAATATAATTCAGACATAAATCAGGTGAGTATGGGTGTGTGTTGACACAACTCAATCTTGTCATTACTTTATCCATGTGGATTTGTCAGGTTCTCTATGGAGGAGAGGCACATGGGAAAAGGTACTTCTGTTAGGTGGGAAGTCTATGTGAGGATGCAGATATTTCCAGTCCGATTATTCATCACCAGCACTGCTAAGGGTTCCTCCCTAAGGATGTGTTTGTTTAAAACCAAGGCTCTTGGGCTGGGAAGGTGGCTCAGTGGTAGAGTGCTTGCCTTGTATGCATGAGGCCCTGGGTTCGATTCCTCAGCACCACATAAGCAGAAAGAAAAAAGCCGGAAGTGGCGCTGTGGCTCAAGTGGTAGAGCCTACCCTTGAGCTGAAGAGCTGAGGGACAGCGCCCAGGCCCAGAGCTCAGATCCCACGACCGGACCCAAAATAAATAAATAAAACCAAGGCTCTTGCCTGGCACTGGTGGCCCACGCCTGTAATCCTAGCCACTCAGGAGGCTGAGATCTGAGGATCATGTTCAATGCCAACCTGGGCAGGACAGTCCAAGAAACTCTTATCTTCAATAAACCACTCGAAAACCGGAAGTGGTGCTGTGGCTCAAGCGGTAGAACGCTCACCTTGCGTCAAAAGAATGCAGGGATAGCGCTCAAGCCCAGAGTTAAAGCCCTAAGACTGACAAAAACAAAACAAAAAACAAGGCTCTGGGGACTTAAAGAACCCCTCTTACCTTTCCCTCAGCTCTCCTTCTCCATCCCCGAAGTGTGGGTTCCAAGTCCCATGAGCAAGCACAGCTGCGGCGCCCTAACTAAACTATAGCCCCAAGTCCTCCAGGGCCTCCCAGGTCTCCTTGTGGGCCGCCGTCCTGATGCCTCCAGCCACCTGCCTCCTGGGTCAGCACTGGAGACGTGGACAGGGACCACTTCACTGTGTCCAGTCTTGAGCACAGGGCTCCCCAGGAGCTCAGTGCCAGGACAAAGACCGTTCACAGGGGAGGGTGTTGGCCTTTCGTTTTATTTTTCACTTCTGGGGATAGAATCCAGGCTCGGTAGTGCTGTGCTCTGGAGCTACCCCTGCAGCTTCTGGGCATTTTGTTTATTTTTGTTGTTGGCTTTTTTGTGTGTATGTATATAGTACTGGTGATTGAACTCAGGGTCTGGAGCTTGCTTGTTCAATTTGCTTGCTACTGGGCTGATGATCTACCACTTGTGCCACACCTCCAGCCTAATTTCTTTGCTGGACTTTTTTGTCAGTCTTGGGGCTTGAACTCTGGGCTTGGGTGCTATCCCTATGCTCTTCAGCTCAAGGCTAGTGCTCTACCGTTTGAGCCACAGCGCCACTTCCAGTTTTCTAATGGTTTATTGGAGATAAGAGTCTCATGGACTTTTTCTGCCCAGGCTGGCTTTGAACCGTGATCCTCAGATCTAAGCTTCCTGAGTAGCTAGGATTAGCCACTGGCCCCCGGCTTTGCTGGATATTTTGGAGATGGAGTCTCAGTGGATTTCTCTGCCTTCACTGGCTTTGAACTGTAATCCTTGAGATTTTAGCCTCCTAAGAAGGTTCTTGATATGACAGGTGTGAGCCACTGGTTCCCGGCTTGCTATATAGTTTAGAAACACTAGAGATTCCTGCTTCCCTCCCTCACCTTGCCTGCACTACCTCCAGGACACTGGATGGAAAGGTTTTCTCAATGTGTAATGGTAGCTGATGATCTTAGTTTGGTCTTTATTTGCTTGTTTATTTAGAGATTTGTGGTTGAAACATTGCGTTCTGTATACATATTGGGCTCAGTGTGACATTTAGGCACACATATATTACACATAATAAGATCAGGGTTATTGGCATAATTTTGCCTTAAATTCACAACACTTCCTTGTGTTGTGAAACAGTTACTGCCATCCAGTCTCTGTTGAATGTCCTGGGTGCTTGGGTGTGTGTAGAAGAGTGGAGATGAAGCCCAGAAATTTGGGATTTATTCTGCAAGCAAATGCAGGGCTATGAAGGGTTTGAGCTGAGGTGTGACTTGGTGGAGTTTGCTTCTCAGCGATCCTGTTGGCACCGGGAGGAAGGGTGGGAAGGGATGTTCAGGCTGGGCATGAACGTAGGGTGGAACTGTACCTGCCCTCGCCCCCCCTCCTGCCTCCAGGGAAGCTCAGTCACCAATGGTAATGTGTTTGTCCCTTTGGAAGCCAGGTGGTTGGCGCTTCTCATTAAGGTCTGCCTGATCCCTGCACGTACAGGTTTTGTTTTTGTTCCTCCTCTTCATTTCTTTTTGGACAGGGTCATCTTTTCCCTTGCTCTCTTCCAGTTTTTCCCTCCCATCCCCACCTACAGTTGCACATGTCCATTGAGTCCCACTGCTGCTTTCGCTCACCCTTTGCCCCTCCATTTCTGTGCCTCCCCTTACACTCCCAAAGACATACACAAACAGCAAAAATGAAAAAACCTCATTTTCATTTCCTGCAGTTCATTTTGATAAGTATTTATCAAATGTGGAGATGTCCTCAATGACCTTCTTCTTAGCTTTTTTTTTCTGTTTCTTTTTTGGTCCGATCGTAGGGCCTGGGCGCTTCTACCCTCAGCTCTTGAGCTCAAGGCTAGCACTCTACCACTTGAGCCACAGCGCCACTTCGGCTTTTTTCTTTTTTGCTTATGTGGTGCTGAAGAATCGAACCCAGGGCCTCAGGCATGCAAGGCAAGCGCTCTACCGCTGAGCCACCTTGCCAGCCCTCTTTCTCAGTTTCTTATTTTCCTTACTCTTCCACCTTGGTTTCTAGGCTGTAGAGAACTTGAGTTTGAATCCTGGGCTGCCAATTCAAAGCCATGTGGCAGTCTCTCTCAGCAAATAGTTACTGAATGACTGAGCAGTGCATTAAAAATCTTAGACTCTGGTTTGACTTGGACAAAACAAAACAACACACAGCCAGAATCTGCACGTGGGTTCTCACTGTCAAACAGCAGCAGTCGGATGGAGGTGGCGAGCAGAAGTGTGGTGGGTGGAGCCACTCCAGCCTGTGTCACTCATACCTGGCCTTTGAGGCAGGGGTGGAGGGGCAGCCAGAGAAAGGAAGGGGCTTCCATGGATGAGTAGGAGTCCAGCAGACATAAAGAGGGACTGAGTTGAGTGAGTAGCAGTGTCTAAGAGGGTGTGTGTGCTAGAGGTGGCAGGCAGTCAGGTACTGTTCATGTTAAATTCCCCTCAGGACTCAGAGTTCGGCTTTCATGGTCAAGCCTCTGTCTTAGCAAGCACTAGGCCCTGAGTTCAAAGTTTTTCTCAGAAGTAAAATAACTGAGTGCTGGTGGCACTGTAACCCTCGTTACTTAGGTAGCTGAGATCTGAGGACATTAGTTTGGGCAAGAAAGTTTATGAGAGCCTTTATTTATTTGTCAGTACATGGAGCTTGAACTCTGGGCCAGGGCGCTGTCCCTGAGCTTTTTTGCTCAAGATTAGTGCTCTGCCACTTCTGAGCCACAGCTCCACTTCCACCTTTCTGTGATTAATTGGAGATAAAAGAGTCTCATGGACTTTTCTGCTTGGGCTGGCAGAAGCAAACCATGATCCTCAGATCTCAGCCTCCTGATCTAGGATTACAGACATAAGCCTGGCTTGTGAGACTCTTATCTACAATTAACCTCCAAAAAGCCAGAGTACAACTGTGGCTGGAGTGGTAGAGCACAAGCCTTAAGTATAAAGGTTCAGGAGCAGCACCCAGACTCCTGAGTTCAGGTTTCAGGACTGGCAAGTCCAGGTCTTGGCTGAGGAAGGTGGAAGTTGCCCTGCCTTTGGAAAGGCTCGGGGAGGCTGGTGATGGGATGGTGGGGTGTTCTTCCGCCATGCTAGCTCGGCTTGCGGTAGACGGGAGGTTACCACAAGTTTAATGTTGCAGACACAGCTTAGCTTTTTTTTTTCCCTGTGAGTGCAGAGGAAAAAAAGTGTGTCTCTAAGAATGGGGGAGCAGCAGGGAGGGTCGGGAGAGTACCTCTAGTTCTTGGATAGCAAGATTATGGGGTAGAGTTTTCAGAAAGATTTTTGTTTGTTTGTTTGGTTTGGCTTTTTGGTCAGTCCTGGGGCTTGAACCTCGGGGACTGGGCCCTGTCTCTGAGCTTTTTTGCTCAAGGCTACTGCTCTACCGCTTTGAACCACAGCACCACTTCTGGGTTTTTTGTGGTTCATTGGAAATGAGAGTCTCACGGACTTTGCTGCCCAGGCTGGCTTTGAACTGTGATCCTCAGATCTCAGCCTCTTGAGTAATTAGGGTTATAGGCGTGAGCTACTAGCACCTAGCTCAGGAAGTTTTAAGGAAGCTTGGAGTAGAATGGGAAGAATCCCCTGAGATCTGGGCGGTTGGGCTCTGTAAAAAGAGATAGTAGGGCTTTGAACTTGGACCTTACCCCCTTGCTTGGCTTTCTTGCTTGTGGCTGGTACCTTACCACCTGAGGTGGTACTGGATGCGGTAAGTCACACTCCAGTTCAGCATTTTTGCTGGTTATTGGAGATGGGAGTCTCACAGATTTTTTTTTTTTTTCTTCTGGGGCTGGCTTCAGATTAGAGTTTTCAGAATTGAGTCTCCTGGATTACAGACACAAGCCACCAGTGCTGGCTCACAGACACTTTTCCTTGTACGTGTGGGACTGCTTTGTTGTTTGCTAGGTGTTCCTGTGTGAACTGCTCTGAATATAACCTTTTCAAAATCTTTTATTTTCCTTCCAGATTGATTCCAAAGATAGTTCTCGTAACTCCATGAACTCTGAGTGTGCAGCTGAAGCTGAGAGTCAGAATGATAGTGTGGAGGACCCAGACAAGGTCCAGAAAAGAAGGAGGGACAGGCTTCGAGACCAGGGCTCCACAATGATCTACCTGAAAGCCATCCAGGGTATCCTGGGCAAGTCAGTGCCCAAGAGGAAGGGAGAGGCTGCCACCACGAGGGTGAAGCCAAGCTCTGGAGAGCATCCCAGCAGAGAAAGACCAGCCAGGAGCGTCGAAGGACCGGCCAGAGGCCTGGAAGGACCGGCCAGGAACCTGGAAAGATCAGCGAAGAGCCTAAAAGGACCATCCAGGAACCTGGAAGGACCGGCCAAAAGTGGGGATGGACCATCCAGGAACCTGGAAGGGCTGGCCAGAAATGGGGATGGACCGGCCAGCAGAGGGGATGGACCGGCCAGCAGAGGGGATGGACCGGCCAGCAGAGGGGATGGACCGGCCAGCAGAGGGGATGGACCGGCCAGGAGCCTGGAAGGACTGGTCAGGAACATTGAAGGACCGGCCAGGAGTGTCCCAGTCACTGCTCCTTCCAAAGAAGAGTCCTCTCCAGAGGTCAGGTCAGGAGAGACGCGTGTGCTTGACAGCAGCGACTTTCCTGACAGTAGAGTGGTTGTAGACCCTGGGGAGCAACCAGCTAAGGAGCTGCTTGGTGACCAGACAACAATCATTGACAAACCCCTGGCACCTCTAGAATTTCGTGATGACTCTGACTCTCATGTAGATACCGAAAAGGTAAGCAAAGCACATGCCAAGCATTTGAGTTTTTGCTACTTTTGACTAAATGTATTTGCATTTGATCATTCTAGTTTGATCTTAAATGATGTTAATTTTTTTTTTTATTTTGTCTATCACGAGATTTGAACTCTGTGCCTGGGGACTGTTAATGAGCTCTTTAGCTCAGTACTCTGTCACTTTGATCCATAGTGCCCAGCCCCAGCATATTTTTTTTGTTTTTGTTTTTATTTTTTGGTTGGTTGTGGGGCTTGAACTCTGGGCTTCGGCGCTGTCCCTGTGCTCTTCAGCTCAAGGAGAACGCTCTACTGCTTGAGCCACAGTGCCATTTCCGGTTTTTATTTTATTTATTTATTTTTGGGTCCGGTCGTAGGGCCTGAACTCTGGGTCTGGGCGCTGTCCCTCAGCTCTTCAGCTCAAGGCTAGCGCTCTACCACTTAAGCCACAGCGCCACTTCCGGTTTTCTGGTGGTTTATTGGAGATAGGAGTCTCACGGTCTCTCTTGCCCTGGCTGGCTTTGAACCTCGATCCTCAGATCTCAGCCTCCTGAGTAACTAGGATTACAGGCGTGAGCCACTGGTGCCCGACTCCAGCATATGTTTTAACTGTACTGATTGTACTGTTTTAAGGAGTGATGAAAAAATAAAAACAACTAAGAAACAAAACCAAACCAGGCACTGGAGGCTCATGTCCATAATCCTAGCTACTCAGGAAGCTGCCTGAGTCAGCAAAGTCCCTGAGAGTCTTATTATTTTCAATTAACCCCAAAAATACCCCTGGAAATGGAGCTGTGGCTATAGTGGTAGAACACTAGCATTGAGTAAAAAGTTCCCAGGCTCTGAGTTCAAGCCCTAGGACCAGTGCCAAAAAAAAGGGAAAAAAAGAAAACCAAAAATGGTGATCCTTAAAAGGTATGTTAAAAGTGACACCCAACACTTTGAATGTGGGTCATATC